GAGGGGAGGCTTCCTTTGGAAACGCTGCTGCTCTCAGAGGTGGTTTGGGGCAGGCTGCTCTGGGGGTCTCTGCCAGGCCCCTCCTGGCACCGTGGGAGGCTGGTGTGTCCTTGCAGGGCTGCAGGAGGGTTGGCGGGATGACCAGATGGGGCCTCCCACAAAGGCGTCCGCAGTGCCAGCTGCTGTGATCTTTGTCGCCAGGGATGGGAGCCCTGGGGAGTGAGGTGTGCCATCAGTGGGACGAGTCACCACGGGGGCCTGAGTGCTGGAGGAGGGCACAGGCTTATTTTTAGGGATGTGGCGTAACATGGAAGAAATGCATGCACTTGAAGCACGGGAAGGCCGAAATGCCAAACAGTTCTCGTGGCTAAATTTAGCAGACGTGCTCTTTATGTAGGAATGGAGTTAACAAGTATGTGACACAGAAGACTTACGGGAGCCGGCCACCTCGCGTGCCCACCATGGTGTGCTGCTGGGGCCGTTCCCGGGAGCACCGCGCTCCGCCCCGGCCGCCTCCACCACAGAAGCAACGGCAGGGGCTGTGAGTGCTCAGGGTCTTAGAGGTTCGACTGCGTTACCCCTGCCTGACCCTGACTCAAGGAGGGAGGCCCCCACTCCGTGCTCTTTCATCGGTGCCTGAGATGAAATCCAAATCACCAAGAATTCCCACTCCCTTTGGGCTTTTGACACAAAGTGTGCTTTTCAGTGCCTTGTTTCAAGAAACACAGGCTTGAAGAGGCACCTTTCAGAAGCTGAGCAGCAATTCCAGCCCGTTGGGACGCACAGACCAAGATTTCTGGGTCTGATCCCAGGAGTGGGACAGGGCGGGCACAGGGCTTTGTGCAACATCACTCAGCCATCGGTGAGTGACAGCTGGGCGGATTCTCAGGCCTGGAATGATGAGGCCAAGGCTTCTGGCCTCTCGTGTAAGGATTCCAGGCTCTGACTCTGACTGGCATCAGCTGGGAATGTGCTGGAAAGGCAGGGTCTCAGGCCCCACCCAGACCCACTGGGCCAGAGCCCATACCACGATGAGTCCCAGGAGCTCCTCAGTGGCCTCTTGGAAGCCTGAGCCCCACCGGGGTGAGTGGAATCCCCAGCCTCACACCAGCCCTGCTGGCCGCTGCCGCTCCCATCTTCTGCCTGAGCCGTTTTCTGTTTTCCACACAATGGGAACCCCAGCCCCCAACCCATCAGCACAGAAGGGATGTGATGGGATGAAGGGCAGGGCAGGGTAGGGCGGTTGGGCCCCAGCACACGGCTTGGGGGAGCCTCCCACGTTTGGTGATCCCGAGCCCTCAGTCTGCTGGGAGAACTGTGGCTTACAGGGAAGTGCGGGTGGGAAAGGGGAGAGGAACAGCAGTGGAGGGCAAGGGCTGAGGCCGTTGCTCCTTGATACACCATGGGATGAAACCCTTTACTCAGTGAAGACCTAAGACTCCCTTAGGCCTGAAAGCTGGTCTTGGCAGGAGGAGGACACAGACGGGAAGACCTCGGATATGGAGACTGATCCCTGGCTGGCGAACCTGCTTCAGGATCTGACTGTAGCAGGTGAGACCCCAAATAAAGGCCCAGACCACAGCCAAGGCCCATACAGCCCAGCAGGCTCTGGGTCCGGATGAGATGCAGCTGCTCAGCAGTGCCCAGGGCTGCCCCAGAGCCCTCTGGTCCCCAGAGCCCTTCTCCTCCCAGGGGCTCCCACACCCACATCTCTGCTGATTCCCTCACACATGTAGACAAGTCTGTGGCTTCTGTGGAGGCTAATTTTTTTTCTCAAATTTAATTAATTTTGAAAACAATGAACAATAATGATTGCACACACAACACCCAGGGCAGACTTTGGCCCTATGCAAGCAGGAAACACAACTAAAAATGTGAATCTGGGAAGCAAGTGGGCACTGATGGGACGAAGCATGAGCTCCGGGCAGGAGGAACTCTGTTCAGTTCCGCTCCCAGGCAGTCCTGTGCTCGCCGGAGGGCAGGGCCGGCCCAGGGCCGTGCGTGTCCGCCCCGCGCCTGCCTGGGGCCTGTTCTGGCGCTTGCAGCCTCCAGAACGCCCTGCGCTATGTGCCGTCGCCTCATCTTGGAAACGAGTCCCTAAACCAACCAAGTATTCAAAGTATTCAAAGACCAGAAACTGCAACAGGAAGAAAAATTATTCATTTTGGTTTTGTGCCATCCTTTTCCTTGCTTTCTCACTTTAAAATATTTTGACTTTCTAATCCCTTAGCAGTGAATATGTACTTATAATATTTGCAGAATCTCTGAAATGTTTAATTAAGAAGAAAAATAGTCCTTCAGACTAAACAGCAAAGCATCAGGGGATCACAGAGTAACTGTGCTCACGCAGGCAGGGTTTAATTACAGGCCTTGATGAAGGACCAATGGACCCAGAAGAGCCTGCCACGTGTCCCTGGGATGCCTCCCAGGGTGTGGCCGGGGGAGACGGGAGATAAGAAGCTTGGGCATGACTCTGCGAGCTGACATTGCCACGCAGGCGGTGGCTGTCACTGCCTCCCAGATCCACGTCACTCTCTATGACCCAGGGGCTCGGAACAGAGGTTCCCAGGGAATGCTTATTCATGGAGTGAATAAAGGAAGGAGAGAATGAACAAAGGAGCATCAGGCCCAGGCCTCCTGATGGAGCCTGCACATGTGGGGCTCTGGGTGATGCTGCTGGGGGTCTTGGTCTCTGCTCTTCACCAGCACCTCTGTCCTAATGTCTCCCAGGCACGGCTGCCGGCCAGGTGCAGACAAAGACGAAGACTCAGAGGTGGTGCCTCTAACACACCGGGGATCCCACCTGGACCTTGAAATCCCCCCCAGGCTACAGAAGCCCCCGAGACCCCTGGCTGCTCCCTTTCCTATGGAAGCCTGGGGCAGACGGTGTTGTCACTGCTGTGATTTCACACACTGGAGCCAGCTGTCAGCCACGGTGTGCGACGACAGAGGCCTCAACGTTCCCCCTCTCCCTGGCTGAGCTGGGTGTAGCCATGCGCCCCAGGACCTTCCTGAGGGCCTTCCTCAAGGGCTCACACCGGAGCTGGGCCCCCAACACTCAACTCAGCCTTCTCTCAACTCCACTGGAAGCCATGGGCGACAGCGCATCTTAGACAGGCCCACAGGTCAATGCAGTCCCCAGCCGGGTGGCTCCTGCAGGTGCCTTCAACCCACTCGGAGGGCAGTGGGGCCAGGCGCTGTCCTGACCAGATGGCAACAAGCAGACTGCCTGGGAATCAGACTGACCGGGGCCTGGCTGTGGCTGCTCACCAGTGGGGAGCACACCTCACCACTCCCCTAAGCCTCAGCTTCTCCATCCATGCAGTGAGTTGTTTTCAAGCCTAACTGAAGTAACACAGACAGTGGGCTCACGGTAACACCCGCCAACATCAGCCGCCACCACCTTATCCACTGGTCACGCGATGTGGTTTGCCTGTGTCCCCACCCACATCTCATCTTGAATTGTAGCTCCCATGATTCCGACGTGTTGTGGGAGGGACTCAGTGGGAGGGAACTGAATGATGGGGGCGGCTCCCCCAGACTGTTCTTGTGGACGCGAATGGGTCTCACGAGGTCTGATGGTTTGATAAGGGGTTTCCCCTTTCGCTTGACTCTCATTCTGTCTTCTGCCTGCTGCCATGATTGTGAGGCCCCCTCAGCCACACGGAACTGTGAGTCCATCAAAGCTCTGTTTCTTATAAATTACCCAGTCTCAGGTACATCTTTACCAGCAGAGTGAAAATGAACTAATATACCAGGGTCAGGAGTTTTATCTTCCAGTTGTTGGGATATTGGTCACTGCATAAGATACTTCCTTTCCTAGGGTTTAATAATTTGGTGGAGAGAGAACTGGCTTAGAGTTGTGAATCTTAGAGAAGTGAGCAGAGGAAGCCTCTGGGAGAAAGTTGGGCTCATTCTCCCAAGAGGCAGCCAGGCAGCATTGCCACCATCCCCTGGGGACCCCGAGGGCAGAAGCCACACCTCCAGGAGGGGCAGGTGGAGCACGGTCAGGGCAGGAGGCGATTGGCCCACGAGCTGATGGTTTCGCCGGGAATTCTGTGGGCTTGCAGGAGAAAGTTTGCATGTGGGGAGTGCGACCCTTCCCAGGGCTCCTTAGAGCAGCCTCCAGTGCATCCCCTGCCCCCTGCCTCGCCTGTGCAGGGAGCACCCTCTGCACACACCTCTGGCTGCGGGTTGGTAGGGCACCGGGCACCCACATGGTGCTGCCAGGGCTGCGGGGAAGGACGGAGGTCTGTCTGCTGATAAACCACAGGCCGATGTTGTGGAGAGTGAGCCCTCGGGAGGAGCAGCCGCCTGAGGCAGAGCTGGGGAAGTTGGCACAGATGGAGCAGAGCTTAAGGCCACGCATCCCACACTTGGGAGAAACATCCTCATTACTGAAACATCACAGCCCTGCAGTGGACATAACGCCCGAGAGCCCCAGGTCACTGCAGCAAGTTTGTGCAGCCCGGATGGGGGGTCCCCAACTCACCCTGGAACCCCTGCTCCCAGACGCCTCCTGGCCGAGGACAAGCCAGGTCTCTTAGCTTGAAAAGACACCCTAATTGTGGTCACATCTCCTGCTGCAGGCTCAGGAAACCATGGCACTGGCTTCTCAATGCCCAGAATGTGGCAAAATCTTAAATGGGGCAAGAAATCCAAATGCGGAAAGGGTGTGCTCTCCAGGACCCATCTGAAAAGTTACTTTCGGGCAGGCGGGGCCACTCTTAGATCTTCCTCACCATCTCCCAGACATGCACACAGCAGGTCAGGAAAACCTGCCTTTCCCTGCCTGCAAAATGACGGAACAATCAAACAATCCCAAGTGCAGCAGCAGAATGGAAACAGGGACTCCGCTTAACTTGGACAGCGGGAAGTAGCGTCGGTACTCAGAGGATTATTTAGGGGAAAAATCTACATAATTCTTGCAGGGCAGGAGGGGGCTGCTGGTGCAGGGTCAGGAAGCGGAACCCACCACGTGGCAGCCCGTGGGAGCCTACCTTGCTCTCGTCCTCCGGGTCGCTGTAGCCACAGGCATCGATGAAATCTGGGAACGTCTCCGACCATCCGTCACTCGTACAGTTTTTGCTTATGTTTCCTGGAAAGTGAAGTTCAGATATTTTATCTGCAAGTCCATGAAAACTGGCCTTAGAAGGGACCTTAGTCTGTGCTGAGCCCGTGCGCTCTGAAAATGCTTCCCATGCCCAGGGCTCAGCTAGGAGACAGGGCTCCACTCAAAAAACCTTCCTTGGCCTCCCAGTCCACGTGACCTGGCCCGCAGGTCACCTCTCGGGGCTGGTGGGGCCTGAGATGAGAGTGAACGCGCTGTGTCGTAAGTCAGAATTACTACAACTGTAAATGTAGTTCTTCTGGGGCAGAACGAAAATTCTTAACAGACTCTTAGGTTCTGCCACCATAAGTGATATTTACAGCCAAGCCTTGGCCATCCTGGAGCCGGTGCCTGGCCTGCTCCGTTCCTGACAGCACTCCCCCTCCTCCCGGCCAGGCCCTCACCACCGACCATGAACCTGCAGGGCAGGCTCCATCCAGTTCCTGACATCCAGTTCCTCCCTCCTCCCAGCCAGGCCCTCACCACCAACGGTGACTGGGTGCTCGGCCTGCCCCAGTTCCTGACAGCACCCTCCCTCCTCCCGGCCAGGCCCTCACCACTGACAGTGACTGGGTGCCTGGCCTGCCCCAGTTCCTGACAGCACCTTCCCTCCTCCCAGCCAGGCCCTCACCACCAACCGTGACCCAGTAGGGCAGGCTCCATTTGGCCACTGGTGTTGGAAGAAAGGATGGCGGAATTACAGTTTAATTGTAGGAAATTAAGGCAATTGTGCCCTTACAATCTCATCGTTTGCTCCTAAGGAACTAAAATCGTATGTAAGCTCAGAAATTCAATGTTCCTTGTATTTGTGTGTCCTTAGCAGACGGCCACACAGAACAGTAGGTGATAGAGCTCTCAAAGGTGTCTGAGCTGTAAGAATAAAACCAGGCACTGAACGCCGTGCCAGCCTTGCCCCGAGCATGGCTGCATGGCGTCAGGATCACCCCCACAGCAGAGCCCAGGAAGCCAGACCCCTCCATGCACTCCTGCACCTGGCATGGCCAGAGTGGGGCCCCTGTCTCCCTGCCCGGGGGACTGGAAGGGTCTGGGGCTTTGGATTTAGCAAATATTTTCACTCCCATGACTTTTTAATTTCAAGACAACCTTGCAAGACAGACTTGGTGGGCACTACAGTTCCCATTTTACAGAAGGGAAAACAAGGCTTCGAAGACTCGGTTTCTGAGTGGGGTGCATGCGTTATTCTTGTCATGCAGTGGTGAGAAGCAGAGGGAGGGCTGGCTGGGCCAGGCCCTGGCTCTACTGGGGAGCAGTGGGGTAGGAGACTGGTCTCAGCGAGGCCACAGGGCTGGCCCTGCCCACTGGCACCCCGACACCATCACCAATCAGGGGCTCTGACTACAAGGCCCACGCCTCACACAGGGAGCCCCAGTAAGGTCTGGGGGCCGCTTAGCTGCAGAGACCCCATACACAGTACAGGCAAAACAGAGCCCTAAAAGGGGCAAGACTCCTAGAGACCTGGTCCCACCGCCCCATTGTGCAGACAAGGAGACAGGTCTACAAAGATAAATGATGTGCCCACCACAGACTCAGGAACAGCACTCTTAATAGTTATTATCATAATAGTAGTCATGTGGTAGTGGCTGCTCCGACTCACTGAGCCCTCAGGAACGCCAGGCTCTGTGTCTGCATCAACCCAGTTAATCTTGACAGCCACAGGAGGCGGCTCTCCAATTAATCTCAGAGATGAGACGACCAAGGCTGAGGAAGAAGTGTCACTTGCCCAAAGTCACACTGGGGAGTGATGGGCCAAGCGCCACACCTGACAGCCTGGCTCTCACCTAAGCAGGGCACCTACAGGCCCCGATCCTGAGTCTGGAAGCCAGGACCTCGGTGGGAGCTGAGGCTGTCACTCATCTTCTGCGAGGTGTGGCCTTTTTCCTTCCTACAGATCAGTGTTTACCAATCCAAAGAAGATACTTAAATAAAACTCCAAAAACTCAGTCAGTCAGTCATTCTGTGAAGTGCAGATTCCCTCACAGGTTTTTTATCCTTTCTGACTTCTCACTCCTGAGACACACGGGGCAAATGTGGAAGGAGAGGAAATGCCTGAGGTGGCAACCTGCAGAGATTGGGGGGGGCAGAGAGAGGCCAGGGAGGGGCAGAGAGATGCCAGGGAGGTGCAGAGAGAGACCATCCAGGGGCAGAGAGGCCAGGGAGATGCAGAGAGAGGCCAGGGAGATGCAGAGAGGCCAGGGAGATGCAAAGAAAGGCTGTGGGGCACAGGGGCACGCTCTCGCCCACTTGCAAGATGACGAATACTTGAAGGCCTCCCTTAGGGCTTCAGTGCTCTCACCAACTATTCCAAGCCCCATGAGGCTACATCATCCTCCACTGGGGGATGTGCTGATGCCCCTTTAAAGGCCCAGAACCACACCTGGCCCTACACCTGTGCTGGATGGGCGGCTGAGCTGCTGCCCTGGGTCTGGCTACAACAGTGCCATGCAGAATTGGCAGGTGGGCACCAGGAGCAACTGGAAACACAGAAAGTAAGTCAAGGGAGAGAGGCCAGCACATGGCCGTTGGAGATGCCTCCTGGGCGCTGAGCATGGGGCTTGAACAGGAGCTGTCCACAGAAGGCTGTCCTCCCGGTGATGAGTCCTTGTGCCTCTCATCCCGGCTCCTGCTTCCTTTTTCCCCTCTATGCAGACAGCTGGCTCATTGCCTCCTGGAGGGGATGGGACAGGAAATGCCCGAAGCACCTGATCCTCACAGCTTTCCCCAAGCAGCAGCGGTAAAGTCCAGCCTGGGTGGGGAGAGCACCTGCATCCCGGGTCCCACTGCTGCAGGGCAGGGTTAGGACCTGCAGAAGGAGCTGCCCAGGGTCCCGCCTGGCACAGAGGTCCCGCCTGGCACAGAGATGTAGGGTGCCAGTGTGCTGGTCACTGTGACGATGAGCCGGGCACACGTGATGATGTCCAGAGGCCACCTGCCTAGTGTAGGACAGACAGCCCCCAAACCTCCCACCTGCTGGAAGGATGAGAAATCAAAAGAGAAAACAACGCTTCGTTAGAATGGTGACTTATTTCTGGAACACCTGGGTTTGTGGGCGGAAATGATTCCGCGTGTGTTCTGTGACCCAGCTTTCCTTACAGGTCACGGGAGGAGCAGCCATCACATGTGTAGAGCGTTCTGTAGACCACAGAGCACCACGCAGATGCGAGCCTGACTTTCATTTCATTTCAAGACTCTCCAGTTATCCCTGCCGAATTTAGTCTCTGAAGCCTCAGCCCCTGTGGTACGATGCCAGGTGGTTTCACCCCAGTCCTGCTTGGCCCCCAGTCACATCCACATCTCTCTAAGTATTTGCAAAGGATGCCCATTGAATGCCCCAGGGATGAATTCCATGCGGACACTCCATGGGGACCATCCGTCCACAGTCTGTGCATGTCATCGCATAGCTCACGTTTTTCCAATGGGTTGAAAAAGTAGCAGCATATTTCCCCTGCATTTCAGACCATCTAGCTGCAGACTTGGGGAAACACCACAGGTTTCCTCACACTAGCAAGGTGGTGTCATGCTCCCCACTTGGGAAAAAGGTGGAATAAGCATTTCACCCAAAACCGACTGGGAGTTTTCACACTTCCAGGGGGCGCGGGATGCTTCCGGGCAGGGCCAGAGCCTCACTGGCCTGGGCGCCTGGTGCCCAGATGGCTTCTGTCTGGCAGACGCCGGACTGTGTTTTGGTGTTTGCCAGTGTGCAAACTACCAGGCTGCTGGGTGCTTTCTGGAAGCCTCAGAACCATGCCATCGACTAGGAAAAGCCAGAGTCCATGCCAATTCTCTCCAGCTCTCCAGAAGAATGGATGCAGCCCAAGCTGCTTGGTAGAAATGCTACTGATTGGAGGGAACAGTTCTTAAAGTCCAGGTTCTCTAAAGTGACTTCGGTTCTAACTCAGGAGTGGGTAATGATGCTAATGCAAGTACGGTCCCCACCTTCAGGCTGCTCTGCTGGCAACTCGGGGTGAGAAAGTCAAAATCTTCCTTTCGGAATCTCCTTCTCCTCTGTCCCAATCTCTTTTCCAATAATCTGCTTTCAAACACTACAGCATTATTACTTCCCAAAGTCCTTACCCTTTAACCTCTGTCTAAGGTAAAAGCAAATTCTCCATAGTATTTCAAAGTATTATGCTTTCTGTTTCCAGATGTTTCTTATGTTTTCTATTTTTCTGAACAGATTTCTTCACACTGTGAAAATCTGAATCACTCACAAAAACAAATAAACCCTTCTCTCAGGACTCGGCCAAGAGACATTTGCCGCACACGGAGCATGCCCTGGGTGCCGAGGAGGAGCCTGGAAGCCCAGAGAAACTGCGAATTCCAGGCAGCATCAAGCCAGTGAGGCGGCAGGGAGGTCGGGGGAATGGGTTCGGTAAACTAGGTGCGTCCTGGGGCCTCTGCCCTGAGCATGGAGGCTCTGGGTGCCACACTTGTCACTTCCCAGAAACTTCCAGAGCGTGCTCTCCGGGGTCCACAGGCCGACTCCGCAGGAGGAGGAGAGCCTCCTTTATGCCCCCCTTGCCTCCCCTCCCCTCTCATGCATGTTTCCCATGCTTTGGTTCCCATGTGGCTCCTGTCTAACCTGGTTCTTTCCCTGCAGTTGCCCTGCTCTCTGCGGTTTGACTGAAGGCAGGTGATGCCCTTCTGCACCCTAAGACGGGCACTCACCCCAGTATGCCACAGCCGTTCCCTGACCCCCAGGGTGGGAGGAGATGCCTGAAGGAAAGTGATGTTCCTGCTTCTTGGATGGAAAACATGGACGCTCAGATGCAAACACCCTGGAGGAGCTCAGGAACTCAACCCACGGACAGTACCTGCTTTGCTGTAAAAATTGCTGAAGACTTTTGGGCAGGGCACCGTGACCGTCTCTCCCACGTTGGCAGGCCGCCAGCATGTGATGTTGTCCCAGATGCCACTGCAGGCTGGAAGGAGAGAAACAGAGTGAGGCGGGTGCAAGGTGAAAGAAGCGTCACAAATAGAAATGCCATTCATGAGATAACTGCCTCGCAAACTCCTTTTCTGTGAAACATGCTTGCACCAACACAATTATTGAGACTATAGTTAGCTTGTGGGTTCATCTCAATGAGCTTTGGAGGAATAACCATATGGTGGTAGAAAGCATTTGAGTAATTCAGTGTATACCATGTACCTTCTGAATTTTAAGAGAATCATTACTTACTTCTTGTGATCAGCATTTCCCAGTGTGACAAAGTGGGCACCACTGGGTGTTAGTGCAAGGGCCGGTCGGGGAGGGCGACGCCCGGGGAAAGTGTGCTTGTGCTTCTGTGGAATCTGACTTCAATGATTATTTGCAAATTGAAGTATTTGATAATATTTGGTTGATTTTTCACTGTCAAGATGCCTTATTAGCAACAAAATCTTAGGTTACCTGCATGGAGTTATCAAATAATTTGCATAATGCATAGCTTAAACCTTTTTAGACCTCTTATTTGGTCTTAATAGCCACCTGGTGAAGGTAAGATATCAAAATATTGCATTAATTATCTTCCAGATGAAAAGCAGTAAGGTTCAAATCATTTAATGACTTCTCAATGTCACACAACAGTGATGGAATCCATGTTTAAATCCAGTACTTTTTCCTACTTGTCCATGGTATTTACACTATATTTGAGACCTCTAAAATTTTATCTTATACTTAAACCTCAATATCAGAAAAGCAATGTGCTGGCCTCGGTAAAAACTAACAAACAAACAAACAAGCAAACGTCAGTTTTCCTTTCAGCGTATGCCACCCAGACCTGTGCAATAACTGTAGGAATACCTCCATGGGGAACACACGGCTTTGGTGTGAACACAGGAGTGTTTTACTTTCAAGAATACAGAAATGTCTCTGAAAAGTTGGCCATGAGCTAAGTTTTGCAGATGAAAATAGTTTCTAAATACTTTCAATAAAAGTGAAAATATATTTATTATAAAATAAAATTACATACCAATACTTGAGTAAGTACATAAATTCATATTACATTAATGTTAACATATTTAAAGAAAATGTTGATTTTCTTTTAAAATGTTCAAAACAAGTGATCAAATACAAATGCATCACTAGAAACTCCAGATGTGCCTCAGGCCCACCAGGTATGAGCGCCCGTGTAAGGCTGCTTAGAGTCTAAGTAGTAGAGTTATTTAAGTGCTAAGTTCATAAACCAAGCACCTCTAACTCTGGTGTGTAGGGCAGGTGGTGGAGAGGTGTCAGGATGGGGTTCCTAGCCAAGAGTGAACAAGGTGGAGAGGAAAATGAAGATGTCTAGGCCTCTAAGTGAAGACTCTGCATGTGATCAGCCAAGTTCTGTCCATCTCCTATAAAACAGCAAGCTCTGGCAGTTTTGTGGCTGGTTATTTTGAAGGTTCAGCTTTTTACCACAAAATGACAAATTTCTGCCTCGATGATAGTAATGGCTGGGTGCAGTGGCTCACGCCTGTAATCCCAGCACGTTGGGAGGCCGAGGTTGGTGGATCATTTGAGGTCAGGAGTGCGAGACCAGCCTGGCCAACATGGTGAAACCCTGTCTCTACTGAAAATACAAAAATTAGCTGGTTGTGGTGGTACATGCCTGTAATCCCAGCTACTCGGGAGGCTAAGGGAGGAGAATTGCTTGAACCCAGTAGGCAGAGGTCGCAGCGAGCCGAGATTGCACCATTGCACTCCAGCTTGGGTGACAAAGCAAAACTCAGTCACACAAAAACAAAGTAATAATTATATGATATTGCTATTTTAAAACAATGGGCTGGGTGCGGTGACTCATGTTTGTAATCTCAACACTTTGGCAGGCTGAGGCAGGATGATCCCTTGAGCCCAAGACTTCAAGACCAGCGTGGGCAACATAGTGAGACCCCATCTCTACAGAAAATATTTAAAAATTCGCTGGAGGTAACAGAGCATGCCTATAGTCCCAGCTACTTGGGAGGCTGAAGTGGGAGGATCACTTGAGCCTGAGAGGTCGAGGTTGCAGTGAGTAAAGATCATGCCACTACACTCCAGCCCAAGTGACAGAGCAAGACCTTGCTTCAATAAATACACAATAAATAAGATAATATATAATAAGATAACTAATACATAATATAAATTATAATGCAATAATTATATACTGTATAATACTAATTGCTGCTTTAAATTGCAACAGAGATACTAAATTCATACCACATCAAACTGTCTTTGCATTACAGTAGGATTTGATTCAAATGTCTAGAGCTTGTCATCTGATCCCTTCAATGTCTAGGTAAAGCCTTTCGTTCATTTGTTCCTTTATTGAACCGCACGTGAGGGAACAGAGCTAGAAGCTGTCAGGATGTGAGGACGTGGACTGGAGGGTGTCAGGACCCCGAGGCTGAGCTAGCAGCCGGAAGTGCAGCCGGAAGTGCAGCGGGAAGCGCAGCCACAGTGCGGGGGCGCACGCGTGGCACAGGCTGCAACCTCCCGGCAACAGCCGCCAGGAGGGAATGTAGGAGTTTCCCCCTCAGCTTCTCAACCTCACGGAAAGGACACCCAAAAATTTGAAAGGGCAGCACCAAGAGATGTCCCTACGGCCTTCCAGACAGAAGCAACTGTGTTAAACAGCCAGGCAGAGCACGGGGAGATGCGAGAGACAGGCCATCGGTGTCCCCCGCACTGGCACGGGCGGAGGACGCTGCAGGGAACCGCGTCCAGGTGGAGTCCCGGGCTCTGAGACTGCAGCCTCCTGGAGGCTGGGCCACGCACCTACCTGGGACCGGCCCGGCCGAGAACCCCGACTGTGAGGAGGAGGCTCATGGGGCCTACCTGGGACTGGACCCGGCCGAGAGCCCCGACTGTGAGGAGGAGGCTCACAGCGCCTACCTGGGACCGGCGCGGCCGAGAGCCCTGACTGTGAGGAGGAGGCTCACAGCGCCTGCCTGGGACTGGCTCTGTCTGTGAGGAGGCGGCTCAAGGGACCTACCTGGGACCGGATCTCGACTGTGAGGAGGAGACTCACGGCACCTTCCTGGAGCCAGATCCCCGCCCGAGGACCCCGACTGTGTGAGCAGGCGGCTTACAGTGCCTGCCTGGGACCAGACCCCAGCCCGAGGATCCCATCTGGGCAAGGAGGGGGACTCCAGAGGGAGTGGCTCTAGGAGACAAAAATGGAACCCTGAGACCACCTCATGAGTGCAGTGTCTTGAGAGTGTTTTGCTGTTGCTGTTCTGGCCCGAGGTTTGATGCCTAATTATTTACAGGTAGGTGAAAAACCCAGCAACAGAAAAACGAGGAAAAGCATAAAGTTCTGAAGAAAGGAAATGCGGAATATTATGTGGCTCAACTGTGATGGCAATAATGTACACCAGCAATGTGAGGTGAGTCCATCAGGAGGCTGGCGGGATGATAAATTATGCTTGGGTGGTGAGAACGGCACAGGAGAGAGAGATCTTTATTCTTGTTAGAAATCTAATGGACACTGACGTAAATTGGGAGGAAGAAAGAAAAGAAACAGGAGCATAAGTATGTTGTTTAGAAATAAAATAAATACCAGAGAAGAGATGAAAGAGATGCTGCCATAGGGCTGAGAACTGGGGAATGAGGAGGGGCTGAGGAGGGGCCAGAGACTATTATCTTTATTCAGCCTTGTAGTATCATTTGCCTTTTACAACTTTACAAATGCCCTGTTTGTTGAAAACTAGCATTTAAAGTGTATCATAATATTAAGATACCCATTTTTAAACGTTTACATTTTTAAGAAACATTGTGCTGGCCAAAGCAAAATAGCGTGTGAACAGGCCATCAGTTCAGTGTCGGACATAAGTGATTCAAATTCAGCACAGCGAATTTGGGAGAGGCAGCGAAAATTCGGGAGAGGCAACAAGTCCTTCTGTAGGAGTGTGCGCGGAGTCACAGGATGGCATGGGAGGAGAAGGGGAGGCAGGCAGGGGCCACCCCCGAGAGAAGCACAGCCAGTGGAGACGCCTGTTCGTTTGGAAAGCAGTGGGCAGCCGAGATTTCATGAAACAAAGAATTTGCGATGAAGGTAGTGAGAAACAAACAAAAGTGCTCAGATAAGGCAGTCAGGGAAATGGGACTTGTTAAGCTCTGGTGGCAACCTAGGTTTTCGAGATGGTGATCATAAAATCAAAGGTCGCTCTGAAAAGTGGAAAATGTTTGTATCAATAGACTCTGAAAAGTTACTTGGTGAAATTCAGTGACCATTTCTAACTTATTTAAAGCCCTAAATAAAAGAGTAAAATAATGAGACTCCCTTAACATCACAGAGAATATTTGTTAAAAATAGCAAGCCCTAAGCCAGGCACCGTGGTAAGTGCCTGCAGTCCCAGCCACCCAGGAGGCTGAGGCAGGAGGATCGCTTGAGCCCAGGAGCTTGAGTTCAGCCTGGGTGACTGAGTGAGGCCTTGTCTCAAAGAAAAGAAAAGAGGAAAGAAAAAAAAAAAAGAAAGAGAGAGGGTGAGAGAAAGAGAAAGGAAGAAGAAGGGAGGGAAGGGGAGGGAAGAAGAAAGAGAAAGAAAGAAAGAGCAAATATTAGACATGTTTAAACACAATTGTACAACTGAGGAGCCAGGTTGGGTACTTGCAATCCATTATTCAACAGTGTGTTGTAAGTTTCAGCTAAAACAGCAGATAAAAGAAAATGAACTAAGAGGTACAAACTGGTAAAAAAGTAGAGAAAAAACTCTAGAACTGTACTTTCTGTATGGCAACCACTAGTCTCACATGGCCATTTAAATGAAAGCTAATTAAAATGAGATGCAGTTAAAGGTTTGGTTCCTCAGTTGCACCCTCCACATTTGAATGTTCCACAGCGGAACATGGCTAGCAGCCATCACACCGGCATTTCCACTACCATGGGAAATTCTACTCGACAGCACTGTCTAGGGTCAGAGTTAGACAAATGCAACACAAACCCAGCAAACCTGTCTCACAAATCAGGAAGCAAAGAGA